GATCCATGCGGGGAGTAGCAGAGACTACGGGCACGAGGCATCCCACGGGGGCTCAGGGTACTCCTGCATCCCGGCGCTGTCTGACAAGGGCCGTCTGCCGCCACCCTTCGTGGGTGCTTCGTCTTCACCCGACCCAGAGCGGCGGTTAGCCGCGACCCTGGGTCCATGCCGGGAGCAGCTGAGACGACGGGCACGACGCCTCCTCTCTACACTTCAGCAGCGGTCAGCGGCGTCCCTGGATGTACCGCCCCCCCCCCCATGGATGCGTCGGCCATCGAGGTGGCAGCGCTGCCCTCAGCGAGTCAGTCCACTGGCTGCAGACTGCCCACCCTGGACCACGCCAGCAGTGGACGAAAATATCGACCGTTCGGTATTACCTTCCTTTCAGCGGCGGTTAGCTGCGACCCTGGATGCACGCGGGGAGCAGCAGAGACTGCGGGCACGAGACATCCCGCGGGAGCTCAAGGTACTCGTGCATCCCAGTGCTGTCTGCCAAGGGCCGTCTGCCGCCACCCTCCGTGGTCGCTCCGTCCTCGCTCTACCTGGAGCGGCGGTTAGCCGCGACCCTGGGTCCATGCGGGGAGTAGCAGAGACTACGGACTCGAGACCTCCCACGGGGGCTCAGGGTATTCTGGCATCCCCGTGCTGTCGCGGTAACTTTACCTCACCTTCAGCGGCGGTTAGCTGCGACCCTGGGCGCTCGCCTGGAATGACGGACTCGACGGGGGCCCTTTCGCTCAACCCAGAGCGGCGGTGAGCCGCGACCCTAACCATAGCGGCGGTCAGCCGCGACCCTGGATCCACGCGGGGAGTTGCTGAGACTACGGGCGCGACACCTCCTCTCTACACTTCAGCAGCGGTCAGCGGCGTCCCTGGATGCCCCCATGGACGCGTCGGCCCTCGAGGTGGAAGCACTGCCCTCAGCGAGTCAGTCCACTGGCTGCAGACTGCCCTGGGCCACACTAGCAGTGAACGGGAAGATCGACCGTTCGGTATTACCTTCCTCTCAGCGGCGGTTAGCTGCGACCCTGGATGCACGCGGGGGGCAGCGGAGACTACGGGCACGAGGCCTCCCGCGGGAGCTCAAGGTACTCTTGCGTCCCAGTGCTGTCGGCCAAGGGCCGTCTGCCGCCGCCCCCCGTGCACGCTCCGGCTTCACTCACCCAGAGCGGCGGTTTGCCGCGCCCCTGGATCCACGCGGGGAGTTGCAGTGACTTTGGGCACGAGACATCCCGCGGGAGCTCAAGGTATTCGTGCATCCCGGTGCTGTCTGCCAAGGGCCGTTTTGCCGCCACCCTCCGTGGTCGCTCCGTCCTCACTCTACCCGGAGCGGCGGTTAGCCGCCACCCTGGATCCATGCGGGGAGTAGCAGAGACTACGGACTCGAGACCTCCCACGGGGGCTCAGGGTATTCTGGCATCCCGGTGCTGTCTGACAAGGGCCGTCTGCCGCCGCCCTCCGTGGGTGCTTCGTCATCACCCAGCCCAGAATGGCGGTTTGCCGCGGCCCTGGATCCACGCGGGGAGCAGCTGAGACGACGGGCACGACACCTCCTCTCTACACTTCAGCAGCGGTCAGCGGCGTCCCTGGATGTACCACCACACAACCCCCATGGATGCGTCGGCCTTCGAGGTGGCAGCACTGCCCTCAGCGAGTCAGTCCACTGGCTGCAGACTGCCCACCCTGGGCCACACCAGCATTGGACGGAAAGATCGACCGTTCGGTATTACCTTCCTTTCAGCGGCGGTTAGCTGCGACCCTGGATGCACGCGGGGAGCAGGAGAGACTACGGGCACGAGGCCTCCCGCGGGAGCTCAAGGTACTCTTGCGTCCCGGTGCTGTCGGCCAATGGCCGTCTGCCGCCGCCCCCCTTGCACGCTCAGTCTTCACTCAACCCAGAGCGGCGGTTGCCGCGTCCCTGGATCCATGCGGGGGGTTGCAGTGACTTCGGGCACGAGACATCCCGCGGGAGCTCAAGGTACTCGTGCATCCCGGTGCTGTCTGCCAATAGGGCCGTCTGCCGCCACCCTCCGTGGTCGCTCCGTCCTCACTCTACCCAGAGCGGCGGTTAGCCACGACCCTGGATCCATGCGGGGAGTTGCAGGGACTGCGGGCGCGAGACCTCCCACGGGGGCTCAGGGTACTCTTGCATCCCGGTGCTGTGACGGATTCGACGGATGTCACACCGCAGGCGCCCGAACATCAGCGGCGATTAGCTGCGATTCTGGAAGAACCAACGCACGCCGTCCCCACAGAGGTTCCGGCCTCCGCGTTGGCAGACCAGCCTTCCGCGTGGCAGGTTGCCCCCTTATGGACCACGCCAACATCGGACGAAAGATCTGCCATTCGGTACTACTTGCACTTCAGCGGCGGTTCGCTGTGACCCTGGAGGATCCTCGAGAATGGCGGCCGTGTCCCCTGGACAGGCATGCCTGGGTCCCGCTCGAGGGGCGGTAAGGTTCGTCCCCGTCGCCTCGCCCCTCGGGTCCCTCTCGGGCCGGGCGGGCGCGTCCCCGCCCTCGGCCTTCGGGGCACGTTTCCTTGCGCGTCCCTCGCAGGGCGCCCCCGTGGTGCCCCTCGCGGGGGTGGTCAGTCGCGTCTTCTGTCGCGTCCCCCCACCGCCCCCCCTTCCGGGCCCCCTTCTGGCCGGGCTTCGCCAGGCGTGCCGGCTGGCCTCGATGGTTTCGCCCCCTCTCCCCGGGGCCGCCCTGGGCCCCCGCTGTCCGTGGCAGCGTTTCCTCACCTGCAGCGGCTGTTCGCTGCGACCCTGGAGAACCACGTGGTGTGGTGGTTGGCGGTGGCCCTGGATTTCCGCGGGGAATGACGGACGCGGCGGACAAGGCCGTCCCACGGTGGCCTTCGGCACCACGCGGCTGCGACAGCGAAGCTTCGCCCCGGACGCGCCACCTTGCTGGCAATGGTCTTCCCACCAGCTTGGCCTTGCGCCGCGCGCGGCCCCTGGAGGCACAGCCAACTCTGAGTGGTTCAGCCTTCGCAGTTTCGGCCGCCCAGAACCCCAGCTGGCAGCGGTAACTTTACCTCACCCTCGGCGGCGGTTAGCTGCGGCCCTGGACGCTCGCGTGGAATGACGGATTCGACGGAGACCTTGGTTCCCTGCAGGGAATGGCGGATTCGGCTGATAAGGCAGTCCCACGGTGGCCTTAGGCGTACATCAGGCGGCAGCTGCCGTGCCCTCAGTGCAGCCCCTCCCTGGATCCCCCTGCCTCGCTGGCGATGCTCGCCACGCCTGCCTGGCTTTCTCCTGCAGTCTATCTGGCGGCGGCTCTGTGCCGTTGTTGGAGGGGCCGGCCCACTGTCGTCCGGGCCTCCCTCGGGCACTGGGTGGTGGCATCTTGGGTGCTGTGGTCGCGCCGGAGTGGTTTAGCCTTCTGCAGTCGCAACAGCACCCTGGACTCATCCCCCTCTTCAGGCAGGTTTGCGACTTCCCTCGGCAGCTCAGCTCCCCTAGCCCGCGCATGCCGTTGGGGCGGCCCTGGGCCAGGCGCCCCACTGGCGACTCGCCCATCGGTCTTCGCGCCTGTGCGCCCACCCAGCATGATGGACACGTCGGCACCAGTGCACGTTAATGTCGTCTGCTTGGGTTATGCCTCACGGCATGCACCGAATTTTTCGGCATTTTGTCACTGCGCGTGCCTGAGCTTCCCTGGATGCCCCCAGCTGTCAGCCTGCACAGCCCCGCGGCTGCTTGGTTAGTGGGGCGGCCGGCTTGCAGCGCGTCTTGTAGCTAGTTTGCCTTGTTCGCTGCCCTGGACAACTGCTTGCGCCGCGTGCGCTCTTCGCTCGCGGCCGCGACCAAAAAAATATATCCCCGCCAGCTCCGTACCCTTTTGGCTCAAGCCGTTTCCTTCGGGGTGTTCCTCCCCCGGGGTCAAGGCTCGAGCACGCTCCCGGCCAGGTGCGGGCCCGCCCGGCGCCGCTGTAGTCTGTCGCGGCGCAGAAGGCAGAACATAATGTCATCCATATCAAACGGAAGAGAGGGATTGGACACGATGTACACGTGTACATGTATACACGTATATATACACACCTATACGACCACTCTTCGGGTGATAAAGAGGTTGCGGGGGGGAGGGGGAACCAACATTTGACTCAATCGATCTCATTATCGATCTCACTCAACGGGACACCACGGGACACCACGGGACATTTGTCGATCTCCTAATCGATCTCACTATCAATCTCACCCAACGGGAGACCACGGGCCACCACGGGACACCGCGGGACACCGCGGGACCCCTCTCGATTTCATTATCGGTTTCACAATCGATCCCATTATCGATCTCATTTTAACGGGGCATCATCGGACACCACGGGGCACCACGGGACACCTCGGGACACCAAATCGATCTCACTATCGACCTCGCTATCGTTTTCATTATCGGTCTCATTTAACGGGGCCCCGCGGACACCACCGGACACCACGGGACACCTGTCGATCTCATTATCGATGTCACTCAACGGGACACCATCCGACACCACGAGACACCTCGGGACACCACATCGATCTCATTATCGATTTCACCATGAATTTCACTCACGGGACACCATGGGGCACCATGGGACACCGCGGGACACCGCCGCACTGACGGAAGGCGGAGGAGCATCATTTGTCTTGACTTTGCCCTAGCAGCGGCGGCTTCATTCGTCTCGCGCGCCCACGCAGCTTCGCCTCGCCCGCACGCGCGACACGCACAAAACGAAACGATTTTCCGCTTTGGGTTCGTTTTTCCAGTGCGATATCACCCCCCCATTTCCGATTTTTTTTTGTTTTTGTTTTTTTTTTGTTTTATATATATATATATATATATATATCTAAATTTATATGTATATGTATGTATATATATATATATATGCAATCATACGTGCTTAAATACGTAAACGGATGTGTTTAGCATCGATCATGTTTACAAGCGGAGAGGCAGATCGTAGGCGAGCGCGAGGGGGCAGTTTGACCCGCACATGTGCAAGCACGTGCCGAGGACACCTGCATGAAGTGGTGTACGCTCTGCATGACCTGCAAGGACGTCAAAGGTTGCCTGACCTTCAAGAATTGCAAGTTGGGGGTCGATTGCAACAAAGAGACGTGCCATTGGGAGGGAACTTGCATGAGCGGCTGACAGGGGGCTCTGTTCGCATCGGAGCTCTGGCGGCCCTCCTGAAACACGTTTGTCACTAGTGTGCGTATGCGTGTATATTTTCTCCGACCTTGTGTAAGGTTTACCTTTATGTGTTCCCCGGAGACGCCGCAAAAGTCCCGTGAGAGACCCTGAAGAGGTCTCCAGAAGGGCCCCAGGAACCCCGAACGGCCCAGGATGCTCCATAATGCTTTTAGTGTGCCCTAGTAGCCCTCCAAGGAAGTACCAGAAAAGCTTCCAGGAAGGGTCCCAAGACGCCCCAGGAGGATCCCCTTCCTGGCTTCAGTACGTGTTGCCTTGTTGTGTACGCTCCCTTAAACAAGCCGCGCCCATTCCGTTCGCCTCCCCGCCCGCGCCGCCAGCCGCGGTATCTGCGATGCCCCTGCGGGCACCCCGTTTCTCGCCGCCTCGCTGGCTCGCGGGCGCCGGTGCCGCGCAAGCGTCGCCTTCTGGCAGCTTCCTGGCCTGCCCTCTCCTCGCCGATGTCGTTCGAGAGCGGTGCCAGTTCGGCGTTGTTGTTTTCGCACTCGGAGCTCCACGTGCTCCTCCCTCTCTCTCTTGCTTCCTGGTCGACGTCGTTCTTTTCCTTTTCATTGTCCACTGTTCAACAGTTTGCTTTTTGTCCTCGGCCACTCTTCCACCGTCGTTCAGTATGCAGCCGTCTGATCAGCTTCCTTCATTTATTCAGTCGTCCGTTCCTCCATCTTCTTCACTTCCTTCCCCCTTCCTCTTCAGCCTTGCCTTCGTCGTCGACGTCGTTCTCAGAGCTCTGGTGTCATGAGTTTTGTGGGATCGCTTTTTTTCGTGGCGCGTCGTTTTCGAGGGCGCTTAGGCCCACAAACGGCCTGCCCGTTGTGATGATTTGCGACGTCTGGAGGTCTGGGTTGGCCCATCCACTTTCGTTGAACATCAGGAGGGGATATATATATATATGTATATATATATATATATATATATATCTACACATAATCAAACTATCCCAGAGCGACCGTACCTAGGAGTTGGAGCCCCAAGGAGAGCAATATTAGTAGTAACAGTAAACGCCGTCCTCCTCCTTCTCCTCATCGTCGCAGATATAGCAGTAGCGGTAGTAGTAGTAGTAGTAGTAGTAGTAGTAGCAGCAGTAGTAGTAGTAGTAGTAGTAGTAGTAGTAGTAGTAGTAGTAGTAGTAGTAGTAGTAGTAGTAGTAGTAGTAGTAGTAGTAGTAGTAGTAGTAGTAGTAGTAGTAGTAGTAGTAGTAGTAGTAGTAGTAGTAGTAGTAGTAGTAGTAGTAGTAGTAGTAGTAGTAGTAGTAGTAGTAGTAGTAGTAGTAGTAGTAGTAGTAGTAGTAGTAGTAGTAGTAGTAGTAGTAGTAGTAGTAGTAGTAGTAGTAGTAGTAGTAGTAGTAGTAGTAGTAGTAGTAGTAGTCGTAGTAGTAGTAGTAGTAGTAGTAGTAGTAGTAGTAGTAGTAGTAGTAGTAGTAGTAGTAGTAGTAGTAGTAGTAGTAGTAGTAGTAGTAGTAGTAGTAGTAGTAGTAGTAGTAGTAGTAGTAGGTAGTAAGAGTAGTAGTAGTAGTTTAGTAGTAGTAGTAGTAGTAGTAGTAGTAGTAGTAGTACTAGTAGTAGTAGTAGTAGTCAGTAGTAGTAGTAGTAGTAGTAGTAGTAGTGTAGTAGTAGTAGGTAGTAGTAGTTAGTAGTCGTAGTAGTGAGAGAGCGTGATCCACCGCCGCTTTACTATGGAAAATTGCCGCCCTTTTCCTCCGGAGCCCGGGGGTCCCCCCCCCAACCCTCCGAAAATCCCCCCCCCCTGCTGGAACCCCTCCCCCCCCCTCCCCCCTTCCCCCGGCAACCCCCCCCCCCTCCCCTAACCCCCTGCCCCCCCCTCGAGCTCGAAAACCGGGGGGGGTCACTACCAGTTCGAACCCCCCCCCCTCGAAAACCGGAGGGGGGGATCACTACCGGTTCGAACCACTGAGCTGTCTCACTGTTCCCACCACTGTCCCCACTGTCCCTACCACTGTCCCCACTGTACCTCTTTCCCATTGTCCCACCGCCGTCCTCGCCACCGCCTTCACCACACTGTCCCCACCACCACTGTACCCTCCACTGTCCTATTGTTTCCACCACATTCCCACCGTCCCCACACCACTGTCCCCACCACCACCGTCCCCACCACTGTCCCACTGTCCCCACTGTTCCCACCATTGTCCTCACCATTGTCCCCACCACTACCGTTCCCACCACTGTCCCACTGTCCCCACCACTGTCCCGCTGTCCCCTCACCACTGTCCCCACCACCACCGTCCCCACCACTGTCCGCACCCCCCCTCCGGTTTTCGAGGGGGGGGGGGGTTCGAACCGGTAGTGATCCCCCCTGGTTTTCGAGTTCGAGGGGGGGGGGGGTTCGAACCG